AATGGTGGGGAGAGGGACTGGGGAGGGGGAAGGAACAGGGTGGAATGGGTCATTGGGGAGAAAAAGGGACATCTGTAATATTTTAAACAATAATAAAACTTAAAAATAATAATAATAATAATAAGAGCTGTCCATTTTATAGGTATCCCTGTTGCCTGGCCAAAATGATGGAAATTCATCATTTCAACTGGCAATCAATGGGGAGACCAGTTAAAGGACACCCACTTTCTACCTTTTCTCTAGATACCAAGAACTCTTTGGTGCCTGTGATGGGTATCACCACATTCTTGGTGAAAGATATGGCTTTACATAGCTGCCACTTTCAAAACTGTCCACAGGGTTTGTAGCCCTTACATAAGGAGAGACTGTCTTTTTGGGTTCTGACATGGAACTCAACATTTTTAGGCCAGTGAGAGGGAAAAACAAGTCTGGGAAGGAAGTGCTTCTTTGGTAGAAAGTGGAGTAAGGAGTGAATACTGGTAATTAGCAACTGGGTCTGTTCTCCGAGCAGAGTATCTTTGTTTAAAACCTGTTCATCAGTGTTTCTTTGAGAAGGAAGCCATTAGTATAGGACTGGGAGTAAAGTGGGAAGTGGCTTAGGCCCAAGTTGACTGAAAAGGAAGGAGGCACTAGCTTGTTTAGAAGGTCTGGAAATGGGAGTTCCCTCTATAAGATGTAGGCTGAGCACCTTTGGCAGCTGAGCAGACATGCATTGTTCTAAGCTAAATAAGACTAACAAGCCAGGGCTTCAGTCCACACAGCTAAATATAAGATGCAACTTAGTTTGGGGTTCTGTACCAATGGACAAGCCCTGAGAGCAGGTCTCTGGAGAGGAGAATAAAAGTGTTTTATCACTCTTGTTCCTCCTCTACTTGGGAGTTTATTAATGCAAAGGGGCCTCAAGGAGGCAGCAGCAGGAGGGAGCAGGTGCATAGACTGATGGTCTGTTTAACAGCGAGAACACTTCCTTTTTGGGGCTGAGGCCAGGGAGACTTTGCTAAGGAACAGTCTTATATTCACCACAAAGTACAGGCTGGGGACGCAGTTGGAGTATCCCTACTTCTAAATTCTCTAATAAGGACAATTTTGTCCCTCACTAGGAAGCAGAGTGGAACACAGGCAGGGAGGAAATTAAATCTTTTCAAATCATTAATTTTTCTTTCATTCCTAAGACCCGCCAAGCTCCATGCACCAGATGGGACCACCTTCATTGCCTGCATTGCCTATACTACCAATGCTATCGAAGCCAGGGGACCAACAAATATGAAAACTTGTTTCTTTAAGCTCTTAGATTCTTTGAGAGGGCCATGCCAGTGACCTTGTCCCTGAGATGATATAATCCTGGGCCCTGGAAAATTGGTGCCTCTCTCTAGAAGATAAGGAAATAGAAGTGGGTGTGCAAGACCCTTTACCTTCAGCAGCTCTTTTAAAGAAGACTTTGCAGCTTCCACAGGTGAGAGCTCCATAATGACAGCCAGAAGCTTCATCCCCACAGATCAGGCAGGTCTTCTGGGGTGGAAAGTAATAGTCAATAGGCAGAACATGTTCCCTGGCAGTCTCCAAACTGGAAAGACACAAAAGAAATAATGCAATAATGTCAGTAGTTGGCAGAAATAGGAGGGTAGAAGTCTGAGATTTTGAGGAGTAAACTACATGTGTACATTATTATTGTTCATTGCTTAATACATTTAGTGTGGAGCTGACTTTTCCTGGGAATTCTTCTAGAGATAATATTTGCAGTGTATCCTGTCACGTGGACAGAGCCTTTATGGATCCGCTAAGGAATTAGACAAGTTTTCTGGAATCAGCCAATCTTATGGGCTATGTCTACATGAGAGAAGGATGAAGGCAGAAATCTGAGGCTAAGGTACCTAACTTAAGGTGATGGTCAGGCAACAATTTCGGAGCAAATAAATAAATGGTATGAAGCCAGGCCTATGACCTTACCTTATCCAAGGGTAGACCTATGGCCAAACCAGATTAAACATCAAAGCAGTCTGATATGCTTTGCTCTAGTCTCTCAGCCTCATTCTCATCTGCAAATAAGAATAACATCACCCACACTACTGAACTACTGTTGTGAATGATGATATAAATTAGACAAAAGAATTAAAAGCCCTTAAATGACTATATAAGTGAAGGGTCACAATTAGTTTTATCATAGCAGTCTTCTTTGGTCTTTTTTCCCATTCCCTCACTTTCTTTAAGAGTCTCTCTAGATCACATGGATATGCTCCCAACCCCATTCTTCAACATTAAGTAGCAGAATCCTTATGCCTGAAGCTCTTGTTAAGAAATGATGGACAGTGATTCTTGAAATCTCTTAAGCTACCATCTCAACACTTAGTCATTATAATACTCATAGGTTCCTTGGGTTAAGATGGAGCTTTGGAGGTCACCTAGTGTAACTTCCTATCTCCAAGAAGATCCATGTCTGAGTTCTTCTAGGTAGATGTGAAGAAGAGGTCCAGAAAGCCAGTCTTAAAACTTAATGGAATTCTTAGTCTCCCATAGTAATTAATTCAAGTTTAAACAAGTTTAACATGGCTCTTACTACCCAAAGGTCATTTTTTCTCTCTCCTATGTCCTATACCTACCCATTAAATAAAACTTAAGTGGCCTCTTGGGTTATTCTGCCTCAGGCAGCAAATTTCCCATATTCTCATCTACAGGAATGCAGCCAATATTTTTTATGAGTACTTCTTCCTTACTAAAGAAGGGAAGTAAGCTTTAATGGCAGCCTGTTTGCTGTGAGGGGTGATTGCAGTACCTCAAAACAACTTCAAGACATTTTGATCCTTGTATCAGATGAAGAAAGTCAGACTTAGAGAGGATAAATTTAGGACTAATTAACACCAAAGCCTGGACTACATGACTCCAAATCAACACAGTTTCCATTACCCTATTGTCTTCTTGCTACTCACCTTCACTTTTAACCCATGGTTCATTGGTAATCATGTTCAGCACAGTCATCAGAATCCAAAAAACAAACAAACAAAAACATGAAAGGATTTCCTCCCTTCAAACTACCAATGAACAGCCCTGGAAGGGCAGGAGCAAAGAAAGTTCTAACTCAGGTTATACTTGACAAGCATTTTATATCTAAGACACAAATATTAGCTTTTATTCAAGTCCTCAGTAAAACAAAAAGCACTCAAAAAGTTCTGAAGATATGCAAATCCAGCAGCTGGCTATGGTAGCCTGTCTTTTCTCCCCATAAGCCTTCTTCTTTTCTAATCTTAACTGGAAAGGCAGCAGAAATCTGTCCACCAAACCAAGACAAACAAGGTGACAAATTCCACAAGGAAAGAGTTTCATTTCATATATACAAATGAGCCAAATGCTAAGAATGTTATTGCTTTGGTTAAAAGTGTCATCTCTTTGGGTAAAAATTGTGTCCCCCATCTTCATTCATAAAACAAGGGAAAGAAGCAGAAGCTCTTGCTCCCTTCCTCCTCCTCCTCCTCCTCCTCCTCCTCCTCCTTTTTGCAAGTATCTTTATCCTCTTCCCACTTTTTTGACTTCTGTAGCATTACAAACAGTTCAAATAAAATCAGAAGGACATGTATTTAGGTACTCTATGTATCAGGCCATTTCATATACATAATCTCATTTAATCTTCCCACCAACTCTGTCAGGTAGCTCTGTATCTTCCCTATATTGTAGGAGAGGAAACTTATGCTCAGGAAAATTAAGTGAACTTGTTCAAGGTCACTCATCTAGTAAGTGAAAATGTAAGGATTCCATCCTAGGTAAGTCTGACTCCACGGTGTAGATTTGTAACCAATGACTACCCATGTTATGAGATTGGAGGTTGAAATTAGACAGAGTGAATCAGTTCAACTCTTAGAACCTAGCCCTATGGACCAGGTACAAGGCTACGTGCTAGGGATATAATGTTGATCAAGACATTATCTTTGCTTCTAAGCAACTTACTCTCTAGTAAAGAAGTCAGACAGGAAGCAAAGAAATGAAAAACAACATAATAAATTATATAATAAAACAAAGTACGGATTGCTACAGATGAGAAAGAACCTCAAAGACAAGAATGTTTTTTAAAAGGCATAAAAGAATATATACCATCATTATCAATTATTAGTATATGACTGCAAATAAATATTAGATAAACAAAATGGGAACCTACATAAATTAAATAAGAGGTCTTTTTGGAAAGAGCTTTTAGGAAATAGAAATTTTCATCCATACTAAAATTTAAAATACAGTTTATCCAGAGACGTGGAAGCATGCAACAGACTGGGACATCTCAGGTGGAAAGAAGGAAAAGGAAGAGATCAACCAAAGGACTTATATGCATATATGTATAACCCACTGACACAAACAATAGTGGAGTGAAGGCCTGGGGAGAGGATAGGAGTGGGGAGAAGGGGGGGCAATGGGGAAAAAAGGAACATCTGTAATACTTCAACAATAAAGATAAATTAAAAAAATAAAATACAGTTCAAATTGTTTAAAAGAATCTAATTAATCAAATTTATAATCAATGCTTAAAGACTGAAGAAAGTCATCAACATTTTTAGATATGAGTTCAATGAGATACATCTTGCACAAAAATAACTATAAAGGGGGAGAAAGAGGAACCTAAATAATCAAAACAATCTTAGAATCTGAACTTTTCTTAACTACAACCCACTTTGACCAGGGATCTGTGATATCTCCTGACCTCACCAGGTCAATTTCTACCTACCTCCTCCCCCCTTCCTCTCTCTGGCAAAATATTTTACACAGCCCTCCCACTGACCCTGGCCTACTGTGGACAAAGGGCACATTGCAGTTTTGACTCATGGGCTGATCTTTGGGTATTGGAAATAAAAATTCCAAGTGCAGTCCCTCTCCCAGGTTTATATCCTAGAGAAACTCATGCACATTTTTACCAGGAGGCATGTGTGTTAGTGATCAGAGCAGCCTTGTTTGTAAAAGCAGAAACATACACTGACAGAAGAGAGGATAAGTACATTATAGCACACCCATTCAATAAAATACAACTCAGCAATGGCAAGGAAGAGAATATAGTTACACATATATGAATCTCACAAACTAATGTTGCATAAAAGAAAATAACTTACAAAAGCATACATACTATATGATTCCATTACATAATGTTAAAAAAGAAGCAAAAGTAAATAATATATGTGTGAAAAAGCATAAAATGCAAGGGAACAGTAAACCTTAATATAGAATAGTTGTTTCCTCTGAAGGCAGGCTGGGGGTAATGATATAAGGAAGGAGAAATCAAGTTTATTTGTGTATGTTTAAACATATTTATGAAGCTACTACATACCAGGTACTATTCTATGTCCTGGGGTTAGAGCAGTGAACAACAACAACAAAAAGAAACGGTATTGATATTCTTTAACCAGGGCTCATGAGTGTTCATTTTATTATTATGCTGTATAACATTTGTTACATATATTCTTTCATATAGGTATCATAGAACATAATTAAAAAGGAAAACCTCAGAAGTTTCTAATGGCCTCCTAACAACCTAACTGCAAGTACACAGAAGTTTGCTTGGAGAACAAGTACAGAATTTGCATGAGACACTGTGTTTCTTCCTGCTTCCCCTGGGTTACGCTCTCACTTATTATCCGGATACAGGGCATTCAGTTTTATGAGTCTGAAGCAAAAGTGCTGTAGCATAGAATGGAAATTTTCAAAACCAGAACACCACTTCCTATTTTCCAACAGTTTCAAAATTAATTAAATAAAAGTGTATTACGCCAGTTCAACCATGGGAAAATTGGGCTCAGAAACCCTCAGCACCCAGCTATAATCTTAATCCCTCAATACGTCTCTCTCTCTTACTTGGGGATACTTTATAGGGTCTGACTAACTTAAGCAAGGCCCCCAATGACTATTAAAGCAGGGTGAAATGCAGAAGTCACAGACAAGTTTTCCCTGTTTGGGTGAGGAATATCAATTCAACAGGGCTTTGGAGCCAACCAGACCCGGATTGAAATCCTGCCTCCAACACTGAAGCTTGGGCTCAGCAATTAGGGTTCTTGGAGCTCTATTTGCCTTATCTGGAAACTGGAGGTACATTCTACCCTAGAGGGCTTTTCTGAGAATTTCATTAAATAATACATATTAATTCCTTCTCTGCATGTCATATGGTAGCTGCATTGTAAGTCTAGGTTGCCTTCGCCTTTTGTCTTACCATAAAAAAAGCAAATATATAATATCATTAAAATAAAAAATACAATCATTCTTGGCTCTTAGGGAAAGGTAAATACAAGTGGAGAGAGAAGGAGAAAAGACTAGATACGTAAAAGCATATCTTTTGCACACATACCTTTGTGCTTTTCAAACAAGAAAGGATTTAGGAAACCACCAAATATCGTTGTAGAGCATCATATTTTTTCCTGATGCTTACTAATTTCAAACTTGTTATTAATCACATTGTGGAATTTAATGACATCTTTACACAAATTTTTAGCATAAAAACAAGAAAGTTCAAAGTTATTCTCTATTCATAGATTCCTTGTGCCTATGCTTTTGTGGCTACAAGGAATATTTCAGTAGGAAATTGGCAAACTAGTGGCAATG